AAATAAATAAATAAATAAATAAATAAATAAATAAATAAATAAATAAATAAATAAATAAATAAATAAATAAATAAATAAATAAATAAATAAATAAATAAATAAATAAATAAATAAATAAATAAATAAATAAATAAATTAATTAATTAATTCATGACCAAACCACAATATTTCAACTATTGGATTTCCAGATTTAGATTTAGCGGATTTCAACCAAAAACTTATTAGGCCTTAGCACTATTTCTAAACAGCTCTTGAGATATCAGTAGTTAACAGCCACATATACATTCATCTCCAAAAATGCATCTCAAAACTGGGTACTGGGTTCAGAGTTTTTAATGATTTGCCCTTTAATAAAACAGGTGACCTCATGGTTTAAATTGGTAGGAATCCATATGGTGCTGGTCTTACAAAATACCAAAGTATCAAAGCAATTGAACTGGAAAGCAAGTTGGGTAAGCAGATGGCTTTGGTAGTGTGATTTGTGATACTGATCGATCAGTGAAGCCTCTTTATGAACTATAAATTCACTTTTAAAAATAAGCTTCAAGACAAATGTGTATGGCAGTACTAGTCTTGCATTGTACAAAATTATCACATTTATAACATATTTTATATTTCTTTATAAAATGTTGTCGACACGGAATTCAAGTAAATCGTGGTTATTAGTGTTGGGTACATCTGCAATGATTTGTCGAAGAAACGAATGCATAGGAATGTAACACTATCTAGGAAAACTAGTACTACTAGTACACATACAGTCAGAATATAATCAGAAAACCTTCCTACAATGACAATACAGCGTACGTTAATACATGTCGACCTATACTGTTTAATTATCAACCAATAAACCGCGTTGTACCAAATACAAGGATTGACATAATCATGATGAATGACATTGTGACTACGAAAACAACTTCAAAATGATACTTCTAAATGCATTTGATCATATGAATTATCAGTAACCGTCGACAAAATATGAAGTACGCCATCTATCAAATGAAATAAAATAATTTGTTTTAATTGAAATGCAATTGTTTTAAAGCTAATCATGTAAAAGAAACAAAAACAAATACGAAGTCGTGACAATTACTTTCAAACCTGAAAAAACTCTTAATATTCCAATTTGCCATCAACACTAAAATTCATTTCAATATTTTAATTCCCAAACCAGTCCAGTGTGTTATGGGAAATTATTCATGAACACCGGATGTTGAAAAGATTACAATCGGAGTTGCCTGCTTATCTAGTGATTCAGCATCGAAGAATCGAAGTTATTTAATTTATTTTTAAAATGTGGAAACACGCCCATCCCACGTCGACAGCGCGTGTCCAGTTTATCCAGTTCAATTGTAGGTTATTTGTGAGTTTAGTTCGATTATTTACATATGTGCCCCCTATATTTGGGTATTCGTAATTATACCAGTAATCTGAAACACAAATTATTAGTTATATATTATATTACTGCGAAGGCAATCGAAAAACTCATGTAATCTTACTGAACTTTATGCTAGAAAAACTTGTTTATAGAACCGAATGAAAATATATTGATGGAGGAAGAAGTTTTTACTCAAATTTGCAAATGCGTGATTTACACTGGGAGATCCGTGCAATATCGAAACGCCGATCTTTCAGACGGCAGGAAATATTGCATTGAAATACCTTTACTTCATCAGTAATGCTACGTATTTTGCGTTATCGAAATATGTATAGTACATTATTACTTGGAATAACATCTTGACTTATATATATATATATATTAAAAAAATTAAATTATTGAAAAAAGTTAAAAGCTGCTACGACCCTCAAATATATGCTATATAGAAAGTAGTGTCTGGTAATGGCAGTCCAAGTTAATCATATAATACACATACGTGCTCCATTGCTGTAGAGTACAGAAAGGGATTCGGAAGGTCCGCGGTGTATTCTTCGAATCGCTCAGAAAAAAATAACAATCCACCACCAGTGGGTTGAATGCAAATATAATACTCTGCGAGTGTACAATCCTCGAATATTAATCTAGCCTAACCCGATCATACTGCATAACTATGTGATGCAATTCTCTCTAACCGATTTGTACTGTAGCATAGGGTATAGTAACGCTAATATATTCCACGCATTGTACAATCACTATGTTTAACAATGGCTACGATTTACTCGGAAAGGTTATAGTAAGGACATGCGCACCCGGGTTATTTTTTATTTATCAAATAGAAGCTAATACAAATCTTGAAAACATTGTTACGTCACATACGTAATAATATGCCAGCTAATCGTTAACGCAATCTAAACAAATTATCGTGAATATTAACCATTTATATAAATAGGCTCTATACACCTGAGATTTATTAGCCGTAAATATGAATACATTATTGAGTCACCAAACATTACGGAACACCACAGAAAGAGCAATATCAGCAATCTTATATTTCGTTGTTGGAGCCATAATCGGATAAAAAGGATGAATAGTAAGTCAAATGTTGATACAATAATAGTCTTATATATGTGATATTCGTGGGAATGTGGCATGTTTGGTTCACTTACATGGTGTCACTGTATCTAGTGCATTGAGCGTGTTATACAATATTGAGATATATTGAATTTTTGTACAATATTATGAGTTCCATCACCTAAATTGCCACAGCCCATGACTTCCATCATAGTTGTATTGACAGGTGAAAAAAATAAATAATGAATATAATATAATATGTTTATTCAACAGCTTCGGAATTTTAAAAATTGTACGAGTCAGTATCACTATTGTCTATCTGTCTATTCTAGTGGCACATAGGGTCTTCACTGAACGTCTACTATGAGTCCTATCAGCTGATGCAACTCTGGCTTCCGCCCATGACTTCCATCCAACATTGTTTCTTTTCTTCTCTACTATGCGTTACCAAGTTGCTTTGACACTACCCTTTTTTTCCCATATGGACCCAAATGTGCATTTTTACCCCTTTGAAATTATGTTTCCATGTCCCCTATTCCTCCTCCTGAATGTGTTAAAGTTGCACCGAGTTATACAAATTCGCTGACCTCTTCAGCAACTTCGCCACCGATGTAAACATTACTAGCATTACTTGCAACTGGTTTAGCTTCTATAAATTACCTGTAAGTTATTTTATGTTAGATATGTTGTTTTGTGGATGCTATCAGCGCCAAATCACCTGCAAAACCCAAGTCATCCAAGTTTGATGTAAACTTCCAGTGATTCTGTATCATTATTATACTATTTGTAAACATTCTAACATTACACACAAAGCAAGTAATGTAACTGATGCACATACGATCGTTCAAGACATTAAAAATTAATAATATTTTCAGTGTCATTGAAATAAGTGTGCAGTTTTAATTATTTAAAACAAAATAATGTCGCGAGGAACCACTCTGTTGTAACTAAACAAACAGTGACCTGAAGTTTACGCCTAAATTACAAGTGTCTTTATAAGCGCTTGGAAGTTCAGAAAAGTCTTTTGTTTGAAAGCGTGATAAAAAAATGTGTGGTGGTGAAGGTAAATACAAAGTTTAACTATTTGAACGTCCCTGAACCCTGTAATCAGGCAAGCACGTGTTTTAGTCGACGCCATTTTTAAGTTCGGTGGACTATTAATAATTAAAGCGAATAAGTAGATTAAATACGACGGGCCTTGTGGACGATATAAATTGGCATGTAATTCGAAAACCATATTCGTTTGCAAATGAACATGAGGTAAAGTATACAAATGGCAATGCAATCTACTTTAATAAATCAGTAATCTGTCCAGACAGTGTGGGATTGTGAGATAGATTTGATAGTAGATTGTATTAATATCAGTTGATAAAGCATCTGTTATCAACTTGAAGTTGATGTCCCGAAAACATATATCAGTATGAGATATGTATTTGACGCCCTGTATACAATTATTTCCATAAATTATCAGAACATAACGCAAGTCGTATTTCGGTTATGTATTTAGGGTCATGTAGCGTTGAGCAAAAGCCGTATTCAGTTAACAGACCGACGGGGCCTGGGTGTACATATTCAGACACTGCAGATGTACAGACAAAGTACAAAATTCTTCTTAGTGCCAACTAACTTGAGAGAGTCGACCTACTGTATGTATAGAAACAAATAAATTTTGAAGAATGGCTTCGACAAGTAATCGGATGACTGCCCCAAAATAAATTGTAAATGACGTTAATCAAAGCGATATGCTAGAGACATTATATACACATCTGGGTCGCTCTGAGTTCATGCAAATATTAAATTGTTGTTGGTTGTCGTCTTTCGTCAAAACAAATAGTCTCTCTCCTTTCGAAAGTCAGAAAGTGGTGTGACGTAGTTGTATCCTAAAACATTCACATTTTCTAGCGATAATTGGAATACATAATTACCCAATATATTTGTTTTTTGCCGTGAGAAATTTATCAAATAAAACGGATGTTTATATCATTATGATTGCATACGTGCTTATCTAAAGCGTAACACTATATAAACCAGAATCTTCTAACACGAGTATTTTTAAAAATGGGGATAATACAAGGTCTTTCCATGTTTATATCGCTTGTCTTGTTTATTTCCATATGTTCAGTTGAAGTGTATGGTAAGTTTAATATAACCTTCCCATATTTGGAAAAAATTTCAATTACATTGTTGTTAAATTTAATTTGTTTTCGTTGAAGGATATTGAGATATAACCTTTGAATTGATATTGTCCAGCGGACGTGAAAACACGCAATATTACCTATAAGTTATGTACAACATGCAATATTTCTGAACGGTTACTTTACGAGAACCCTCGTGATATCGCGTCGTTTTACGACTGTTCTTAGTTTTCGAACGAGCATAAAAAAATATTTTCTTCTGTAGAAATACTTAAGTGCGATGATTCACTGATGTGAAGTTGAATTGTCAATAACCATGCCGCGTATCAGTCCGTGCCTGGTGAACGAAATATACCGCCATAGCCTTCAAAATATGATACTGGCTCTGCAAGGGGCAAATTGCTGTGATGAAATGCCTGGTTAGCTTTTCAACGTGCCTGTTACGTGAACATAATTAGATTTGAACTTCGTTTGAACATTTACAATACATTATGGTATCACGATTATTTTTGCAAGTATTCGTACTCGTTTTGTTCAACTGAGATACAAGTAGACGGAACGCGTTCAAAGTGTACTCCAAATGGATCTTGGACGCCAATAGCCACGTTGAGTTCCCCCTAAATAATTTTACATTCCCGTATGTAATCGCGCTCACTGTTTATCTGACATATTTTGCCAAATTGTTTGAAACAAAGAACGATGCGACTAATTGGAGGGGAAAAACATGTTCCGTTTTAACCCCACTCTCAACAAGACTTCTGTGGCTATTTGCATCTACGACGTATTAAAGATGGACACGGCTAAGATGAGTTGAAATCCCACTTACTGTCGTAATAATATTATTCAACTTATTTCAGGACAAACCACTCCATCGTATGGGACCACCCTAGCAGGTAATGTCAATGTTAATTAGCTGTTTCGAGAGAACATCTCGAGTATATGACCCTGGTTGGCCGATGATTTTTTTTATTTAGGTACTCCTAGATGACATAATGTCGTTTAATCGGTTCCATATTACGAATAAATGATTTGGATTGGTACATCCGTAATGGTTTACGAGTCAGGAGATGAGTTAGGTGGTTTTCTTCTATTTACAGCTGGTAGCTCTTGTAGAAACAAATGCGGTTCATCCAGTCCAGGGAGTGAGTGTAACTGCGACGCTGCTTGTGTGATATATAACGACTGTTGCGCTGATTACTTCACGGTGTGTCCAAGTAAGAGTCTATCCTTTATATCTCTATCATTAAATGAACTAATGTAAAACACATTTAATTAAACAATCGTTGACCTACGCAACAGATGGATAATGTTTTATTAAGCACTGGCTTATACATATTAACATATGTAGAACTGGAACTTATATTACAATCAGAAATAAAAAAAGAGAGAGAGAGAAAAATTAAATTAAATTAAATTATTACATAGTCAATTCAGGTACCATTTTAGTGAATGAAGAAATCGTGACACTTCCTGTCACAGACATATATTACTAATGTTCAAGTTAACGTGCAACAAAGAGCACGTGGAAGGATATGGAAGGATACACATTCCCAGACACACTGTGGTTAGTAATTTGATTTTTGCACACAGACTGAAATCAATTACAGACATCCCCAGTATCTGTGCAAGGTACTTTATAACATCCATGTACTCCGTGTAGTTTGACAGTATTTGTTTGTTCCTGCTGTTGAATTGATAATCTAATTGAAAATATTGTAGTTTACAGTGCAACTGATAATTAGTCTTGTCTCCTGATTCCTAACAGCTAACTGTACAGCAACAATCGTGATACGACCAGAAGGATATGTTGACGTCACTTCTCCGAATTATCCCAATGATTACCCAGTTAACATCTTGTGTGAGTGGATCGTCTATTCGTATAGTAATTACCAAATATTCGTCAGGTTTCTGGACTTCCAGACGGAACCAATTTATGACCAGTTCTTTGCCGGCCATGGTGACATACCCTCCGAGGAAACAAGCGTCATTTGGGAGCATACGGGAAATGACTTGCCTGACAACTTTCTGTCAAATAGAAGCTCAGTATGGATGAGGTTCATCTCGGATTCGTCTACTACATTCCGTGGATTTCGAATTCGACTGAATGATACGAGTAAGTTAAGTCTGTGCCTCTTCAAATCGATACGATGTAAGCTGTACAGTATTTTATTTTTGTATTATTACATTTATATTTACAATGTCAACAATTTTTTTATATATATATCAGTGGCAAAAATTGTCTCACTGTTTTCCTTTGTTTAAATATTCTACGACAACGAACAACAGTATTCTGTTAAACAATATAGCAAACTATCGTCTGTTTCTCCTGTATATTTTAGTGAACGAGTCATGTGCGGGGTTATGCGGGTATTACAACTATTTTGATGATTGCAGCTGCGATGTGTCGTGCGTAGATAATTGTTGTCCAGATGTACATGACAACTGCCAGAGTAAGTTATCATTCGATTAATTATGTTTAATCCTCCTACATATTTCCATGGCAAACATATGCGCCACTCTCATGTGAACTCTTTGATGTTGATATTAATATCTGATAAGCATATGTTATCTTTTTAATGTCTGTTATGTTTTTTTTTCATCCATTAGATAACACGGTGAATCCACCTCCTTATAGCACGCAACCTACCCCATGTGAGACTTACATAGTATTTTTTTTCAATATTCGTTATTAACTAAAAAATATAATATCAACAATGCAGAACATGGATGAGAGTAACACCTAATAATTATCTATGTATTCTCACCCATTCTTAGTAAATTGTTCTGCAAGTATTGTTCTACCAGAAGGAGGAAGTGTTGACATAATGACGCCTAACTATCCTGACGACTACCCAAATAACGCAAACTGTGATTGGTTTGTCTCCTCTCCTGGAAATTACCGGGTACTCGTCGAGCACAACGATTTCAATACCGAGTCTAATTATGATTTTTACTCTGCTGGTAATGGGGAAAACGTTAGTCTAGAAAGTAGCGTCATATGGCAGCATTCCGGACCATTTCTACCTCGAAATTTTCTGTCTGCTGGTGGCTCCGTCTGGCTTACCTTCGACTCTGATAATAGTATAACGTCGAAAGGATTTCATATAACTCTCCATGACACTAGTAAGTGACGAATTTATTCGAAGCCGTATTTTGTTTTCATCTACGTTGATAGCCTGTAGTATTAATTCGTCGCTGTCCTATCACCAGCATAGATGATAATATACTTCAATATATGCTAAAATTCACCGAAATAATCTCGTGTAGAGCAACACAACCACGATAATTGTTTTTGCCCATTCAAATAAGGTTCGATTATTTCGCTATTACGTTTGCAGTTCTTGATATTTTATATTTGAAATAGTGGACGTGGTGACGGGCGGAAAACGGAATACTTTTTTAGCAAAAAAGATCAACTCTCGTGGCTCTCTTTCAATCAACGAGATCTCGTCGGCCATTTACTTCCGTGTCTTTAAACAACTCCTTGCAATTCGCTCATAACAGGTCATGGTTCGTGCGACGGATACTGTGGTCTTTATAACGATATACATGGCTGTAGCTGCAAAAGTTCATGTTTGCTGAATGACGACTGCTGCTCGGACTACTTTGAAATTTGTGGAGGTAATTTTTGAAAAGTCGACATTTGCATTCTTACCTGAAACATGTATCTGTATATATATATATATATATATATATTACCTGAAAATGAATATGTGATATTTTCATCTACTGGATCATTGGAATTTCACGGGTTATCCAAAGCGCGAGTGGCAGACATCACGTAGTTGACGTTTCGAATTATGGACCGTGGCATCTGATGTTATGCTAGCGAAACAGTCAGTATAAGTATTCAAGTCAGCTGAGTCAAACTTGAATCATAAATTGAATCATTAATTTAGTCATTAATTCAAAGCAAATTACATATGCGCAGCCACGATTTTATGTTTTTGTTGTTCATGTTAAAGTGAGCTGTCCCAGCAAATCATTTTCATTACGCTCATATTCAACACATGTATTTTTTAAAGTTGGGATTTCAAGGAACAAATCGATTGTACTAGATAATCATTTGTGCGCATAAACATCCTGACTGAATCCGCAAATTCTGAAAAACACTAACATAGTAGATTTGACATGGTTCCAGG